CCAACCTTCACTCCTACTTTTAGAGATACCTGGTGTTCCAATTTCTGGAGGTTCTGGGGGGAAACTAGGTTGTTCCTTAGCTTTCCTCACTGCTGCTTTTAGCAAAAATCAGTGTTTATGAGACTAAGTCAGACCAGCTGATTTCCAGCTTTTCAAATTCTTTTGTATTTGCATCCTTTCATTTTCTTTCCCTTTGTGGGGTTTTGCTTTTAAAAAAGAAATCCTCTTGCTGTCATTTTCGTTGGTTTTCAAGGAGGAGCAAAAATAAATGTGTATGTTCAATCTACCATCTTTATCTAGAAGATAAAACAAATTGCAAAGTCATTAATCCATCTGGGATTTATTGTTGTGATTGGTATAACTTCAAAATGGGCCAGGCTGGTGGCTCACGCCTGTAATCCTAGCACTCTGGGAGGCTGAAGGCTGAGGCAGGTGAATCATTTGATCTCAGGCGTTCAAGACCAGCCTGAGCAAGAGTGAGACCTGTCTCTACCAAAAATCAGATGGAATAGTATTTAAGGAAAAAAGCATTATAGGGGATAAAGAGGTTATTCATACTGACAGGTAGAACAAACTGCTGAGAAGATAATAATATAGTTTCAAATGTTTATTCTCTCAACAACATAGCTTCATAGCTGAGCATGCTGGCAAGGTGGGAGGATTGCTTGAACCCAGGGAGTTCGAGCCTGCAGCGTGTGATGATCATGCCTGTGGATAGCTGCTGCACTCCAGCCTGGGCAACATATCGAGACCCTCATCTCTAAAAGATACATAAATATTAATAGATCGATAAATAAAATTGGAAACAATATAGCTTCATAATAAAAATCAAAAACTAATATTATAGAAATATAAGACAATTTTTTTAAGACAGAGTCTCACTATGTTGCCCAGGCTAGAGTGCCGTGGCGTCAGCCTAGCTCACAGCAAACCTCAAACTCCTGGGCTCAAGCAATCCTTCTGCCTCAGCCTCCTGAGTAGCTGGGACTATAGGTATGTGCCACCATGCCCGGCTAATTTTTTCTATTTTTAGTAGAGATGGGGTCTTGCTCTTGCTCAGGCTGGTCTCGAACTCCTGAGCTCAAATGATCCGCCTGCCTCAGTCTCCCAGAGTGCTAGAATTACAGACATGAGCCACCGTGCCTGGCCTCCATCTGATGTTAATCCAGCTATCCCTGATCACTAGACCTGACCAAGCAGTCTAATCCAGCTTTTATGATGAGGAAGAATAATAACTTGGATCTAGTTTAAGGTAACTTTTACTTTGGTTTTCTATCAAAAGAGTAAATAACTAGATCAAAGAATTTGCAGAAGATGCAGATGCAGGGGGTAGAGGTGCCTCTTGGTTGTTCCCTTATTTCTCCTGGGATATGCCCAAAGTTTGATGGTCTTGCCTGCGTGCATGGAGTAACATATCTGAGGTATAGAACTGTGATCTCACTTTAACACCAGAAACAATGAGTGCTACTATACACAGCAAAAATTCAACCCATAAGGGGGAATAGCTTGTTGGGCTGATACCTGGATTCTGAGTCAGAACAGGGCAATCTCCTAGCTGCCCTTATGCTGCAAGACCCAGGCATTTTTCATTTATGTTCTCTGGCAGGATTTTCAGGGATTGTCAGAATCTGTTTGCATACTGTTAGCATTTGCTTGATCTTTTTCTTTATTTTTAGTCTTTTTGGATTTTGTTTTATGTGCATTTCTTATAAATAGGATTGAACTGGATTGTACTTCTTGGTTTTATTTATTTACTTATTTTTTTTTTTACTCAAACTGAAAATCCCTGTCAATCAATAGGTGAATTTAACTCATTTATATTTATTATGAGGAATTCTGTGTTTGGACTTACTCCCATTTACATTATTTTTTATCCTTTTGTCCTTTTAGATTACTGGAATTAAAGTTCTATTATTTTTCATGTGGTTTAGAATACATATATTCTATTTTTAGTGCTTTACATTTTGTTTTTATGTTCTTCAAGATACAAATTAAACATACATTTTTTTCATTTATATTCTTAAAAAAAACTCTTCCTAATGAGAAAAGAACTATAACATGCTTTTTGTTCCCTTTACTCCACCCATGTTAATGTAACCTGTGGTTTTCATCTCAAATTATTATAGAATTTTTTATAATTAACATTTATTTAGATTCAAATTTCTTGCTTTTATTGCTCATGATCATATTCATTTTTCTTGTTTTTTTCTTTTTTATGAGGTGATTCCTCTAATAAGTCTTTCATAAAGTATCTATTAATGGTAAACTTTGAGTTTTTGTTTTGTTTTGTTTTGTTTTTGAGGCAGAGTCTCACTCTATTGCCCCGGCTAGAGTGCCATGGCATCAGCCTAGCTCACAGCAACCTCAAACTCCTGGGCTCAAGCAATCCTTCTGCCTCAGCCTCCTGAGTAGCTGGGACTATAGGCATGCGCCACCATGCCCGGCTAATATATATATATATATTTTTTTATTTTTATTTTTTTTTAGTTGTCCAGCTAATTTCTTCCTATATTTTCAGTAGAGATTTCATCTTGCTCTTGCTCAGGCTGGTCTCGAACTCCTGAGCTCAGACGATCCTCCCATCTCTAGGATTACATATGTGAGCTACTGAGCCCGGCCAACTTTGAGTCTTTTCATATCTGAAAATTTCTAAATTTTGGTGTCACATTTGAATGAATGGCTACCTATAGAATTTTAGATTTCAAAATAATTTCCTCATCACAGTGGAGACTTAAGAGCTGTACATATTACTATATGTAAATATAATTCTATCAAAGAATATCCGTTTGAACTTTGAAAATATTTTTCCATTGTCTCTTAGCACCCAGTATCATTAAGGAAGAGCCTGCTGATAAAGTGATTCTAATTCTTTTTTTTTTTTTTTCTTTGAGACAGTCTCACTCTGTTGCCCAGGCCAGAGTGCTGTGGCGTCAGCCTAGTTCACAGCAACCTCAAACTCCTGGGCTCAAGCAATCCTCCTGCCTCAGCCTCCCGAGTAACTGGGACTACAGGCATGTGCCACCATGCCTGGCTTATTTTTTCTCGATATATTAGTTTGCCAATTAATTATGGTAGAGACAGGGTCTCGCTCTTGCTCAGGCTGGTTTCGAACTCCTGACCTTGAGCAATCCGCCCGCCTCTGCCTCCCAGAGTGCTAGGATTACAGGTGTGAGCCACCTTGCCTGGCCTGGTAGGCTTTTTCAATCTGCAGAACTATGTCTTTCTTCAATTCTGGGAATTTTTTCTTTAGTTTTTTCCTTGAGTATTCTCTTTTCTCTATTTAATCTATTTTCTGGACTTTTCAATGCAATATTCTTTTGCATCTAATTATAGTTATCTTAAAGCCCAAGTCTATGTGTATTCCTACTTTTTTAGATATAAACTCCTTTCATTGAATTATCAGTCTTTTCCCCTATGATATTTGCATTTTGCAAATATTTGGCTTTTCTTGGCTAAACTCTTGTGAGTTTACCTTTGGACCTGAGATTCATTGTTAAGTTGAATGACCTGCTTGCAAGAAAGGGCAGAACATGCAACCATACTGTGTAAAGTGGAGTGAATGAGGAAGAGAGGGCACTGTTTGCCAGGATGCGCTAATAGCCTTCTGGATACAGAAGCTTCCTGCTTCCTTAGGGAGCTGTCTCTGGAACTTTGCATTCACCTCTCACTGCTCCTGCCCTTGGGCAGACACCTCTGTGGCTCACTGGCCTGAGGCAAACACTCCTGGCTGTCCGTTCTGCAATGCCCCAACCAGTCATGGCCAGTCAACCATGGACCTCCTGCTCCCACTTCACAAGTTCTGGGTCCAAAGCATCCCTAGAGCTGCTCCCACCTTTTGTAGCAGTCTTCTCCTCTGGTAATTTGGCCCATGGTTTCTGTATTCAATCTGATCCCATCTGCTTTCTCTATATCATTTTCTAGGTAACAGATAAATCTGTTTAGATCATTCTAAGAAATATAAATTGAGACTTGGAATAAAAGGAAACAACTATATGTGTGCAGTCTGCTGTCTTGAACTGGAAGCTGACAAACTCTTTGTATAGACTATTTTAACACCACACTGACCTATAATTATTTATTCCTCAGTGTTGCTCCCAAAGATACAGATACACCTGTGCTCATGCTAGGTTGCCTTTTAACTCCTGGTGCTTCATTGTTCTTGGAACTAACTTGATGAGTGGATGAAGAAATGATTATATCAGTTGATTATAATGAGGATTCTAATTCTTTTTTTTTTTCTTTGAGACAGTCTCACTCTGTTGCCTAGGCCAGAGTGCCGTGGCGTCAGCCTAGTTCACAGCAACCTCAAACTCCTGGGCTCAAGCGATCCTCCTGCCTCAGCCTCCCGAGTAGCTGGGACTACAGGCATGCGCCACCATGCCTGGCTAATTTTTTTCTATATATTTTTAGTTGGCTAATTAATTTCTTTCTATTTTTAGAGCACAGGACTCTACTTTTCCCCCCCAAGTGGACCCAAGAGCAATAAGTAAGAGTATATGGTAATAAGTGAAAAATCTGCATCCCTGCTGTAAACTACGTACAACCTGCGTGCCCCGGACTGTGAGAATTCCTGGGAAGTCACGGGGGACTCAGACACCCCATGCACAAAACATGGCCTGGGTTGGGCTGCCAGACACAACACAGGAACACACTTATTTTTTGTTATTTTTTTTAATTTCAGCATATTATGGGGGTAAACAGACATATTCCATGGGGCACGTTTATAATAAAAAACAGATGTTAAAAATGTGTGTCTTCTTCTTTCTGAAACTCAAATGTAACTGGGTATCTTGATGTTTATTTGCCCTCTCTGGCACCTCTCAGCACGGTGTCATAGAAAGAAAATAGTTGAGAGCAAAGGTCATGGACCGCAGGGATGCTCCCTCACCTGGGGATCTTCCCAGTGCTGACGGCCAACAAACTTGGCCATCAAGAGACCGGGTCTCGCTCTTGCTCAGGCTGGTTTTGAACTCCTGACCTTGAGCGATCCTCCTGCGTCAGCCTCCCAGAGTGCTAGGATTATAGGCGTGAGCCACCTCACCCGGCCAGGATTCTAATTCTTACCACATCATTTACAAGATCATTCCTCCTACCTGCCCCTCAGTTTTCCTATCCATAAAATTGGACAAAGGTTAGAGATCATTCCTTTCATTTCAATCTGAAGGAATCCCAGTAGTAGTTCTTATAGTGCAGGTATTCTAGCAATATATTCTCCTTTTTTGTTTATCTGGAAATGTCTTCATTTCTTCTTCACTTTTGAAGGATGGTTTTGCTGGTATAGAATTTTTGGTGGGCAGCCTTTTTCCTTCAATATATCACTGGAGAGTGTGTCTGGGGAGGACAGAATGGCATGCCTGTCCCCAAATGCCCCATCATCCTGACCAGTCCACAGTTCTGCTCACTCCCACTGACTGCCACAGAGGGGACATAGTCTACACCGGTTACTAGTATTGCAAAAGGAAAAGTGGTGGGGGACATAGTCATTTTTAAATCATTCGTGAAAGACAAACTTTATTTTGCTAATCTCAGAAACTGGCAAGGAAATAACCATAATGACAACAGTGCGTTTTCCTGTGTTAAATCATCTTCAGCTGCATGATCTCATTGGGACCTCACAGCTGCCCTGAATGGTAGGCAGGGCAGGTCACTACAGATCCACTTTACGGGGGACTTGTTGGAGGTGACCCGGCTTCCACACGGGACTGATTCTCCTAGATACCTCTCAGCTTCTGCTCCAGGCTCTTCAATGCCCCAGGTGCGCAGGGCTCCCGCCAGGCACAGGCAAACACTTTAACTTCCCCAGCTATAAAATGAGGGATCAAGCAACCCTCCCCCTGAACAAAGCACTGCATCGAGACAGTTCTGGCGTGGGCAGGAAAAGGAGCTTCTCCTTGTTGACTGGCCAAGCCCCTGTTGGGAAAGGGTGGGGGGAAGCAGCCACCACCCCTTGTGTTCCTCTCTCTGCTGCTGACAGTTCTCCAGACAGAGGGGGCTCTGAGGGGGCGCTGCACCTCCTCGCTCTGCACCGGGCTCAGATTTAGGCCCAACCTGCCAGCCACACCACGAAGCCTTCTCCTCTCCTGAGCCTACACCAGTCCCCAGAGGAGGAGGGACTCAGGCCGGGACTACCGCCTCAATCTGCCAGCGACACACGGGGCACTTGGCTGTGTCCCTGAAGACCCGCCAGGAACAGGAGCTGCAGAAGTGCGTGTGGCCACAGGGGACAAGGCAGGTGTTGGCGGCGTGGTAGAAGCAGATGGCACACTCCTCTCCCGAGGTGGCTAGGAAGGGGGACAACATAGGTCAGGGCACGTGGGGGCAAGGGGCGGGCAGCCTACTCATGCTATAGCCACAGGACAGAGAACTATGCAGTAAGGTTTTGAAGACTATGACCTCATGAGAAAAGGCTTACAAAGTGATCAAGTGAAAAAACACTGGGAAGAAAAGCATAATGTACATACGTACATATCAAATTCCAATTTGGAGAAAATGAAAACAAAGTACAAACAATTCCATATATGTATATATATATATACATATATATATAACTAAAAAGCATAGGGAGTAAATCCACCCAAGAGGTAATGGGTGATCTTTTAAAAATTTCTTCTTTATCCTTTAATGTTTATTTTGACTTTGCAAAGTCTTTACAATGAGTGTGGATTGCTTTTTTAAAGCAAGAACAAAATAACATCATCTGCTCATAAATGTGCTCTTGTAACATATAGTTGGCCGATGTTCTAGAAGGCAGAGATGTTAAATTGCTTTTAGGTTTCCAGGAGGCAGAGCCAAATCGTTTGGTCCAAAGCCCCTGGGAGACTTGGCTGAGCAACCAGGGCTTGGCCCGTCCCTACCCCACTCCCGGGGGCCTCTGGTGCTCAGGGAAGCCACTCACCTTCAGGCTTAGGCACAGCCTTGTCACCTTCCGGCTCAGCCACAGCCTCGTCGCTGAGGACCGACCAAGAGGTTGTGGGATACAGGCTGGCTGTGGGATCTAAGGCAGAAAGGGAAACTCAGGGCTGGAGAAAGCAAACCCAGGTGCCCCATCCCGCCAGGCCCTGCAGCAAAGGCCCCTCTCCTTCCTTTTCTGGGTTACAGTGTTGGGGCTCCTGGCTGATTATAAGACCCTGGAGTGGGCCACCCTTTCCCCAGCTTAGCCTAGCCCAGCGAACTCCTGGCACGTAGATCCTTCCTCCTAAGCCGCTCTTCCTCCAGGCCTGTCCTTTTTGCTCTGCTGCCCTGCCTGAGTGCAGACTCTCAGCGTGACCTGTGTTTCCAGGCCCGGATGTGCATCTGTGTGTCCCAGGAGGCGGGGAGAACATAGGCACTGGGGCCTACTCCAGACCTGTCAAATCGGGTGCTCCAAGGCCTGAGGCTCCACAAGCTGTGGCAAAAGATTTTAAAAGCCAGTTCAGTGGAGCAGGAATGGACCACCAGTATTTTTTTTTTTTGAGACGGGGTCTCCCTCTGCTGCCCAGGCTGGAGTGCAGTGGCACAATCATAGCTCACTGCAGCTTCGAACTTTCGATCTCAAGTGATCCTCCCACCTCGGCCTCCTGATAGCTGAGGGTATTACTGCCTGTCTGTGCTCCCCTGAAATCCACAGTCCTCTGGAGTAGCTAGAGGGGTGGTTCAAGTTTCTTTTCCCCTGCTGGCAGAATCCCTGCACCTCTAGCCCTAGCACTTAACGTGCACTTTGCTTGCCGCCTTTGTCGCTAGTGAACTCCTACTTAGACTGCAACCGCCCCAATGTTTTGTCCTTTGTGAAACGTAATCAGCCCTGTAACATATGTTTGGAGTGCTGGTCATATCTTATTCTTTAGGGACAAGGCTGCCCTTCCTATGACTGGGGTCTTGTCTATCTGGTGTCTGTCGGCAGTGCCCATCTTCACACCTGACACTGGGCTAGGGCTGATGGAATAACTGAATATGAACGAATGAACTGTTCTTCCCTTGGCTCCGGATGGGCGTGGGGCACCACCCGAGTCATCATCTCCGCCCACTTCTCAGGGCTGTGCCTGGGTCCCCGCGGTTGTCTCACCCAGAAGCTCGATGGCCTTGGTGGTCCCGTACACGTCCATCACCGCCCAGAGCGGGGCGCCCATGAGCACGCCCTTGCGCAGTAGGATCGGGCGGCCTGCGTTGATCTTGGCGAAGAGCCAGCCCCTTTGGTTCACCCAGAAGCGGACCACATTCCCCTCGAGCACGCAGCGGTCTGGCAGCATGGCCGCCCACGTCGGGCTCCGCTCCTCCAGGTCCGGGCACACGAAGGGCGGCAGGCTGGACGCGGACACGCGCGCGGGGTCCAGGCGCGTGAAGCCCACGCGGAGGCCACCACGCCAGCCGCCCTCCTGGCGCAGCACGCGCAGGGCCACGCGCTCGCCCGGCAGCACCGGCCGCTGGCTGAACACGATGCCGTCGTGGAACGTGGCGCGCCTGTGCGCGGTGCAGCCGCGGGTGTCCAGATGCACCTGCGCGCCCTTGGCCTCCGTGTGGAAGCGAAGCGCCTCTCCCGGGGACTTGGCGTCTGCAGGATGAGGGGGCAGGAGTCGAGAGTGTCACTGTGGGCTGGGCCTGGACCCACCAGCACCCAAGAGCCTCCAGCCCCTGGGGCCACCTTGACACACCCCCAAGCCCTGGAGTCACTTCAACACCCCATCCCCCAGCAGCACTACTACGGGGCCACCTTGACCTTCCCCCAGAGAACCATTTCCACCTCTCCAACCTCCCTGGGATCCCTTCAACTCCACCACCACCACCCTCCCCAGAACCCCAGAGACCTGCTTAGAGCCAGGTGGGGAGCCCACTTTGCCTGTCCCAAGTCTGAGTTCACATCATGAACCTCCGCAAGCCGCAGATCCCCTCCCTCAGTCATGCTGTGACTAGGAAAGAACTGATGCCTGTTGGTGATTTGTCCATGATCAATCAATCCTGGTTATGGGTGTTATTGTTACGTACAAAGAGCAGGTTTGATGTGGAAACAACCCAAGTGTCCATCAATACATGAGAGGGTTAATAAAATGTGGTATATGTGTACCATGGAGTACTATTCAGCCATAAAAAATGGTGATCTAGTATCTTTTGTAACAACTTGGAAGGAACTGAAGACCATTCTTCTAAGTGAAGTATCACAAGAATGGAAAAATAAAACCACATGTACTCAATACTAAATGGGAACTAATCGATCAACACCATGTGCACATATGGAAGTAAAACTCAACCGAAATCAAGCAGGTGTGAGAGAGGAGGAGGGGATGGGGCTTCACACCTAACAGGTACAATGCACACTGTCTGGGTGAAGGGCACCCTTATAACTTTGACTCAAACACTGTACAAAAGCAGGGTGGGGATGCAGGCTGGAGAGTGGGGACCAGGTCAGCCCCTCAGAATCCTGGGCTGGCTCTGAAACCAGGGGACTCCCTGCATGACTGCACTCTGCAGCCAGGAGGCAAAGCTCTTTGCAGGGCAGTCCTTCCTCTCAGCCACCCCCCACCTGGAGGAAGCCGGGGGAGTTTCCTGCCCCAGGACTGTGACTGCTCTTAGCCAGCCCTGAAGCCTAATCTCCTGCCAGCCCCCTGCCCTTCTCCTCCTGGCCTTGCTCTTTCTGGCTTGGGGGAGGGAGGCTGGCTGACTTCTTGCTGTTAAAAACAAAACCAGGTGAATTCAATCAAGCTTGACCCAGACCCCAGCCTAGAGGAGCAAGACCCCTCCCCTCCCAGGGTCACTTTCCCCTGCAACCTCTGACCACGCACAGGCCTGCAAACTCCTGGCAGGGACCAGGAAAGGGAGACTTAATCTGTTAGGCACAAGAAACACCCTTGAGGTCACAGTGAATCTGTCCCTGACCTCCACATACCAAAGGTAAGCCAAGCCAACCTGAAATGTCCTTACTTGGGACGTTAGGGACAAACACTCACCCTGACTTTGGGACTTTCCAAAGGGGCCCTCACAGTGCCCTGCCTATCTCAGGAACACCCCTGGCCATACCAGCACCTTCCTGGAATGCCCGCATCTCTCCCTCCTGCCCCGACAGGTCTGCCCAGACTCCCTGTCCTTCAAGCCTGTCCCTAAGGAAGAGGAAGGCCCTGAGTCAGCACAAATGGAGACCTGAAGCCAGATTGGGGGGCCCTGACATCGAACCTGTCCTTGTGGCCATTGCTGAGGCCACTTTGTGGAGGGCAGGAGGGGCACAGTGATCGGCCATGTCTGACACCTAGATTCTAGTCCTGCCCTGCTGCTGACCCAGGCAGGTCACTGTCCCCCAGGGACCAGTCTCACCCACAAACGAAAGTGACGTGCCGCCCAGCCAAGGCCTGAAGTCTCGGGGCACCTGCCTGGGGATGCTGTTCACTGCCCACCTGGCAAGGTAGGGGGCGGGGGGGGGGCACTAGGTGAAACCAGCCAAAACCATGGAGGGTGGAAGCCACCCCCCTGGCTGGGTCACTTTCCATCTCTGAACTGGGACCTCGAGAGAAGCTCTGGAGTGGGGCCTGCAAAGGTACCCTGGCAATGGTCCTGGTTGAGGGGCAGTGTGGGAGATGGTGGCCAGCATCCGAGCCCTGTCCACATGCCGCCACACCCAGTCCTGCTGCCACCCAAGAGGCAGATGGTGGGCAAGCAGCCGGCCCTGGCCCCACGGCAACCAGGGGCAGAACCACAGTCAAACAGGAGTCGCTCCAGCTCCACCCAGTGCAGCCCCCACAGGGAAAGAAGGAACTTTGGCCCTGGCAGTGACACAGAGCCCCTCCACTTCCTGTGCCCCTGGTCCAGGGACCAAGCTCAGGGGTTAGGGGAACTGGAGACCCATCATGCTCAGCACCTTGGGCCTGGACAGTAACTAGCAGAGATGAGCCTGTCCTGGCTGTGGCTGGAGTTTCCACCTCATCTCCTGGGCAGGTGCCAAGGACAGAGGCTGACCCCCTGCAGGGGCGGGAGGGGACGTGAGCTCACTGTCCCATGTACTTCCTTGGGGCAGTGGGGACCTGGCTGGCTGGGAGGCAGTCCAGGGAGGAGGAGGAACTCCCGGGGAGTGGCCTCGGTGGCTACATGAGTCCCTCAGCAGGGCAGGGAGGGCCTAGGGAGCCCAGGAGAAGTAGGCCTTGCCCTGGATGGGAACCTGACAGTCTGCAAAGCTCACCCATAAGGAGCCTTCCCAGCAGCGTGGGAGCTATGCTGTCACATCACCACAGTTAGAGGAGGGGGCCGAAGGGACATAGCCAGATGCACAGGTCACCATGTGGCCAGGGCACTTGAGTACCCTCCTCTCTGCTGCACAACCAGGCTCTGCTCCCTACCTCGGGCAACCTCTCAGGACCTGCCTGAGTGTGGCCCTTGCAAGGCACCTCTGGCTGGGGAACAAAAGGCCCCTGGGGCTCAGTGTCCCCACATGCACTCTCCGGCGTGGCCGTTCACTGCACAGCCAAGACTGCGTGGGGCTGCAACTCCCCCAGCCCCACCCGCTCGGCAAGGGCCTGCAGGCTGCATCCACCTACTTTGCCCAGGGCTCTGCCACCTGAGTTTGGAGCCAGGTCTCAGCGGCACAAAAGGCGTGACCAGCCACCTCTACTCTGCCTGCCTTCTCCCACACGGACTGCAGGGTTCCTCCCACCCTTTGGCCGGCACCACCCAGGCCACCCACTCCCAGGATGGGGTATGTGGGAGGTGGGCACAAGCCAAGTGTGGCTCTCTGAGCAGGCCTGTCCCCAGCGGCTGGACAGGCATAGGGTTCAGAGCACCCAGGTGCCTGAGCACTGTCACCCTCTTTTTGTTGGCCCCATTTTCAGGCATGATCCTGAGGCTCAGAGGAGTGGAGTGATGGAGTGACAGAGGGAGGTGTCCATAGAGGACAATCTCCAATTACACTGCCTGCCCCCACCTTCCCCTGCTGCCGTGGGGTGGGACCAAGTGCTGGACAAGGACCCACCCTAGCTGCCAGGAAGTCCAGGGAACATAAGTCAGGGCCTTAGATGTCTCCACCTGTGGGCAGGTAGAGTCAAATTACAGACTCTCTGGGCTCTTAGAATTTGAGTGATGCAGGGTCAGCTCCCAGCTCAGCGCCACCACTCTGGGTCTTCATCCTCTTCATCACCACCCCTCCAGCTGCATGCAGCCTGTTGGGATGCCAGGCGCTAATAAGCACATGCAGCCTCCTTCACTCCTCCCGCCACCCTCCCGGGGAAGCACTCAGAGCTTGCGAAAGCTGTGCAAGTCCACGTTCCTGCAGCCAGAAGTGGGAGATCCCAAGCCCAGCTCCCAGCCCTCACACTCCCACGCTGCCTCCTTTATGGCATGTCATTGCCCTGCCTGGAATCCAAACAGTGGCTACAGCAACAGTGGTGCTGGGTGCAGCCTGAGGCTCGTGTGTGAGCCTTGGGTGCCCACCAGGGGGACAGGAGCCCTGAGCCCCAGCTCCCTTGCCTGGGAGGGCAGATCCAGAGATGTGCAGTCCCAGTCTCCGGTGGTAGAAGACCAGGTCCTCCCTCTGCACCCACACACAGCCCTGCCACTAAGGGATGACAGTGGCCTCGAGTGAGGCTTGCAGATAACCTGCGTGCTTATTACCCTTTGGATCTGTGTGTTCTAGCAGCCTGGTAAGCCTGTCCCCAGCCTGCAGATGAGGAAACTGAAGCCCAGAGACAAAGTGACTTGCCCAAGATCCCACAGCTGGACTTGGCAGAACTGGGAACCCACCATGCCCCCTTAACTTTACACTGACCACACCTATACCCTCTGGAACTTCTACCCCAGCAATGATAGAACCCCCTCCACTTTCTGCACCCCTGGTCCAGGGACCAAGCTCAGGAGCTGTAGGAGGTCTACTTACTGGCCTCGAAGCTGAGCTGGGCACCCATCAGCCTGGGGTCCTTGGGCACAGGTTCCCAGGTCTGGAAGGAACTGTCTAGAGTAGGCCAGTGGACAGTTTCCAAAGACTTGGCAGGTCCTCTTTTTATGGGCCGGAGGGATCACATTACAGGGTTGATGATTAATTAGATTTTGCTGTCATGCATTACCATATCCAGGGAATTTCCTGATGATTTCCTGGTAAGTTCTCCTGGCTTGTAGATGGCTGGCCTCAGAAAAGGAAGCAGAGAGTGGGGACCTGGCCCCGGTAGGTCTTCCAGCAGCCTTCTCTCTTACTTTCAACCAGTCTCAACCTGGGTGTGCATTATAATTGCCCAAGGCACGTTAATAAGTACCTATGGCCAGCCCTGCCCCTAAAGGCTCTGGTCCATTGGCCAGGGGTGAGGCCCGGGCATCAGGAGTTTTAAAAAGCATCTTGCATGATTCTAAGGTGGAGATTCATTGCTACAGAGCCCAGCACACAGAAGGCGCTCAATCAGTGTTGCTGAAGCGGATTGAATTGAATCAGCTCCATCCCAGGACCTGTGAATTTACACCTACCCTTGGTCTCCAGCAGACATGAGGGGGTTAAGCAGACAGAAGGGGAGAGGAGTGGATCATTCTCCCAGCCTTGCTGGAGCTAGAATTCCACTTTCCGGAAGCCACCACAAAATGCACATAGCCCCACAGGAGGTCACACCAAAGGCCTGGCTCCCAATGTGTTAGCTCTGGCAAAGAAGTCAGAGATGTTCTACCCCTGTGACTTCTATTAGGGAAACTGAGGCTCAAGGAGGGAAGAGGCTTGCTCTAACCTAGTGATTCTCACCTTGCCAAGTGCATACGAATCTCCTGGAGATCTATTAAAATGCAGAGTGATCAGAAAGTCAGGGGCCCTGCCTGGGATTTTGCTTTTCTAACCAGGTGGCTCTGGGGCCCTTACTCTGGATGGCAAGGCCCTAGGTTGGTTTAGAAGCTTGTGACTACCCTGGCCCTGACCCTCAACCTCCAGGCTAGGCCCTTCCCAAGACCCCAGATCAAGGCCACAATCAGTAACTACTTTGGACTCGGCTAAGGGATGGGTGGCCCTGTGCATGTTCATGGGAACAGGGAATGGGGGTGCATTGCCTGGGCTGCGGAGGTTGGCTGGGATAGGAGAGCAGGGGATGTTTGGAGACCCAGGTTGTCCCCCTGTGTTACCTTGGGCAGCTCTCTTGCCCCCCCACCCATGGGCCTTGGTATCCCCATGTGTAAAACAGGAAGCCAGGATAAGGGGGTCTTGTGCCTCCCTTGCAGCCCTGACATGCTGTGATTTTGGTCTTAGTGAGGGTGTAAGGGTGACAACAGCTTTGCCCCGGTTGACTTCCAGAGACATTGCTGCAACCCTGGCCCTCCTCTCCCATGCCACACCCCTGCCATGCTCCCTCAGTTTCTCCGATGGAAGCAAAGGCCCAGTCTTCCAAAAGCCAAAGGCAAACAGGTGAGGAGTCAATGCCAGTCACAACGAGCCAAAGGTTGATGGTTCTTGCTGGCCCAGCCCTGTGGTTTATGGTTCTGGCTGGGCCAGCCTGGGAGATTCAGGCTGGATACCCCCTTGTTCCCCCTCTGGCAGGCTCAGGGCACCCGCTTGTCCCCCCTCTGGCAGGCTCAGGGCACCCGCTTGTCCCCCCTCTGGCAGGCTCAGGGCACCCGCTTGTCCTCCCTCTGGCAGGCTCAGGGCACCCGCTTGTCCTCCCTCTGGCAGCCCCACCCATCTCTGGGCAGTGCTGGGGCCCAGAGATCCCTCCTTCTCCCTCTTCCCCTTCCCCGGCTCTGGGCTGCCCTGGGTGGTTACCTCGAGGGCTGGAGTCAAGAGCACCTTGTTGATAAACCACATTCCCAGGAAAGAGATATGTATGGCATCTTATCAGGGAAATCAGGGCTAGAGCCTCAACCTGCCCGGAAGATTACTGGCCAAGTTGTGGAGGTCAGGCTGCCCAAGCCAGCTGGCGGGGGTGGGGTGGTCCCATCTGCAGGACTTTGGGTGGTGGGGAGGGGACATTCTGAGGAACTGAAGCTCGCCTTAGGCCTGGCATCTAGGGGACAGGAATGCCCAGGCAGGTCCCCCACCCCATACTCCCATGTTTATTTAACGCTGACAGAGTTCAGGACACACTGCCCCAAAGTATGGCACCTTGGCATCTGAGAAAACAGCAGAAGCAGAAAAGCCACTCCCACCTTCCCTTTGCCCTTCTCCCCTGACGGAGGACATAAGCCCCTCATTAACACCCTGTCTCTGAAGACACAGGGACAGAGAGAAGGATCGGAACACAGAGGCCTGGCTGAGCCCCCCAGTTCACTACCCTAGCCCCTATCCCATGTGCCCAGTTGTGCTGCTACACCACTGTCTACTCTCCATCAAACCAAAGCCCCAAATACACAGATTTCCCTATTTCTTGCATCTTTATTTCTGTGTCACGTAAAACTTACATTAAATAAATTGGTTTGCTTTTCTCTTGTTGATCTGTCTTTTGTTATATAGGGAAGCCATGACCCTCGTGATGGGTGAGAAAAGATAGTATTTCTTCTCCCCTAAAAAACACTACTGCTCCAAGTCCAGTATTTACTTGATAATCCTCATGGCAACTCCTCAGAAAGGTTCTATTTATTGTAATCATTCCCATTTTACAGATGGAGAAACTGAGGCACAAAAAGGTTAAGCAACTTTTTCACCGTCACAAGGCAGGAAGTGACAGAGCCAAGCTTTGTGGCAGGACGGCCAGGGCCTTAACCACCATGCTGGGTCCCTCCACGGCTCCCCACTCAGGCGCTTGGCCCCTCGGAAGCGTTTGTTAACAGCGAATGTCTTCCCCACTGGAGCAGGCTGACAAACAGTAGCAGCTTCACAGACAGTTGCTAACTAACTGGCTGGCTGAGTGCGAGGGGGAGGCTGTCCTACGATAGAGACCCCACCCTTCCTTCCCCTCCAGTGCCATCAGCAAGGCAAGGCTGTAGCCGTCCAAGCTTGCTGCAAGAAGGGAGGGACTGGCCCCCGGAGGGGAGGGCGGCCTCCCAACTAGGCGGTGATTTGGGCGGCCCCTGTTGGCGGCAGTCGGTACTGCAGGAGCCCCTTGGAAGTTTCAAAGCCAAGGAGGAGTGCCTGCAGCGGGAGGCAGGTGGGGGCTGAGGCTTCTGAGACCTCTGCACCGCCTCCCCTCACCCCGCAGCCCCCCACACTCCCTCCCTCCCCACGGTGAGCTGTCGCCTCACCGGGACCCCTCAGTGGCAGTCAGCCTTGTTCGCCGAGGCCCCGTCGTTACTAAGTGCCTTCACACGGGTCATATCATACGATGCCTCCAGCGCTCCGAGAAGGAGCTGCACGGAGGAGGAAGCCTGGGCTCGCCCCAGGGTTCATGCCAGCCTGCAGCCGAGCAGGGGTGGGAACCCAGCCCCCAAACTGGGACACTGTTACGCAGCCCAGCCCTGCGTGGCCGCCTGCCATCAAGGCCCTGGGACCCCTACCGTCGCACACTTGGCCTGCACTCCCCTGTTCCCCCACCAGGCTGGAGTTTCAGAGGGCAAGGGGCTGCCACGCCTGGACACCAGCCCTGGAACAATTAGGGCGTGGGCACAGTGGGCGGTGGGCAAGGACTTGTCGGGGCCAGGCAGTGCAGTGTGGCAGCTTCTTTAAAGTTGCCTGTCCACCTGCCACATGACCCAGCCATCCCACTCCCAGGTGACAGGACTAGGTGTGAATGTCCACAGAGACTGGCACACAAATGTCCAGAGCAGCGTTCTGCATAACAAGAGCCCCAGACAGCATGAAGTTCGGGCCGCCCCTGCCCGTGTGCGCCAAGCCAGGGTAAGGCTCGCCTTGGGGCGTCAACGACTGCGGACCTGGGGGGCTGGGAAAGTCCTGCGCCTGGATCGGGCGGTGGGCACACAGGTGTGCATACGTTCAGAAAGATCCTTCCGGTCAGCCCCTCAAGCCGCGTGTAAACCGCATCTTATCTATACGCTGGCTAAATCCATCCCCTCGCCGCCCGGCAGACGATTCTGCCCGCGCTGTGGAACCCGCGAGCGGCCGCCCCCCTCGGACACCGGCCGGGAGCCGCAGGGCTTGGCCGGCACCGCCGCCTGGTGGACAGAAGCGGAACCGACCGCCGGCCCAGTGCCCTGGAAGCAGACGGTCCTGCCACCACGGCTGCAGCCGCCGCTGCACCTGCGTCTCCAGGACACTGCTGTCAGCCACGTGGTCCTTAGAAGTTAGAGGACAGGAGAGGGCCAACGTGTGCTAGCACAGTACCAGCCCCTAGTTAGATCTGTGTTGTCACTTCTGCCCTGTCCTGGTCTTCCTGGGTCCTGATTCTGCCGTGCACCACCACGGCCCTCATCCCTTCTGCCTCCTGCCCGGCCAGCGCTTGAGCACCTAGGGGGTGTCAGCGGGGAGCCAGCAGGGTGCGTGCCAGAGAGGGGAAGCTGGGGAGAGGGCACAGCTCCCAGGCCTGGTGTGGCTGCTCAGGGGGCAGGAAGGGGCAACGGGGGGGGGCAACGGGGAGGCAGCCCCCCTCTTCTTTTGGTTTTTTGTTTTCTTTCTCCCTGTGCCCCCTCATCCCACACACAGCAGTCGGGGTGTTTGTCCTGGGAAGACAGTGGTGCCTGCCCGTGTGTGTGTGTGTGTGTGTGTGTGTGTGTGTGTGTCTGTGGTGTGTTCAACAGGAATTAATTCGGTCCCTACTTCGTACCAATCACTGTCCCAATTCTGGGTAAGAGATTGAAGACAACCCAATTCTCACTCCTGAGCCATGTCACGTGTGCCCTGGTATTCAGGTTAGTGCTACAAGAGGGCCAAACTGAGGGCTGGGAAACTGTGGATCTTTGGTTGTTCTGTGGGGGAACAGATAGTAGAATTAAGCCCCAAAAGGTAAATAGGGTTTCAACAGCCAAGAAAGGAAAGAAGGGCATCCAGGCAGAAGGAACAGCATGTGCAAAGGCACAGAATGTCGTCGTGCACAGCCAGTTAGGATTAGGGGTGCTCACATATAAGAGAACATCCAAAAGACCAGTGGCTTAGACAAGAGGTGTTCATTTATTTTTCACATAAAATAAGTTGAAGGTAGGCCATCC